GAAATTTGCAACCTTTTTTCAGAGAAAAATGTACTTCCATGTGTGTCTGTTTGGGGTGGGGGTAGTGCATTTTCTTTTGCTTCGCAACCAGGATGGCTCTGTTTAGACATGGTTTCAACATTTGTGTACTGCTACTATTGTTTATTTACTCCGAAGCAGTGGTGGAGCCAAGGGGTGTGACGTGCGTACCCTGAAATTTGATGAAACATTGTATATACTGCTCGCAAGCCTATCTTTCAGGATTTAGAAAATATATAAATGGACCGATTTAGTTGGTCATGGAAGGATACCTACTCTGGATAACCAAATTTACCGCTGATTTCTATAATAAAATTCTTGAAATATCTTTCGGGAATGTCAAATTAGTCTGCTTTTGTAGTAATTTACTAATTTATATATAAAGCCTTCTGGCTAAGTATACTATTATAGGGATTTCTTAGAAAATCTACTCTCAGTAATAACTCCTGGAAGCATGACTTATCAAAAGTTTCCTATTTATGAAAGTCTCCCAAGTCTTCCCTTTATATCTTTGACTTTGAGACTTCTTATTTTCATTTTTGCTGCAATTTCCTTTTCAATTTTTTGCATGTATTACAATTTTTCAAGATGCTTATCTTAACTACTTTGTCTAGTAAGGGTTGATTGCTTGATTAGAGAGGAATGTAATGGAAATTATGAGAAGCATTTTGTAAATGTTATTCTTCTCAACTTCGGAGGAAGATATGTATACTTGTCATAGATTAATATCATTGTGTACAAGTTGCAAGTATGAAAATTAATATGTCCGTTCTTAATCTAGTATATAATACTAATGACAAGAGTTTCGTGCTCACCTTCACACAAAATCCTGGCTACGCCACTACTACAAATACTACAGTCAGCCATATAAAGTATTACGATTAAAATCTATCTTGAGGCACTTTCTTTGCTATTTCATACAAGCATGTGATTTATATGATGTCATTTTTCTTTCTTCCTCTCTCTTTTTTGAGAACATCCAATGTTGCATGGCATTGTGGATTGGATTTTTGTAATAAAGATATGCATGTGTGGTAGTGGCTATAATGGGTAAAAGTGTCGACAAGTTGGTGATTAGAATTTACTCCAATGTGTCTGAAACATGCCTATCAATCTATCATAAGGTGTCTGCCACGACCAATTCTTGGAATTGGAGTGTTTGTACACTAGTATTGTAAACCTTATAGGAAAGTATAACAATAGGAATAGTAATACTTTTTCAGTTTTCTTATGATGTTATAAGAGAGTTGATAGGAATGATTTGTGCATGTGCAGTATAGACCTATAAAAAAAAAACCATATTTTTAAGTGACATATAAGGTAATAAGTGAGTGGGTGCTTCAGAGTTGATTAAAACAATAGTTTGTAATAGCTGAAAACATGGTCCTACATTTAACTGGTGGCACACAGATCATTCACAATGTTCCAAACATTTAAATTGTCTCATTGTCATTATCTACTGGTTGGGTCTGTGATGTCTGCCACTAAATGAGCTTGCTATTGTTTAACTGCTTTTAGTAGTAAGATTTTTTTTTTTTTGTCCTTTCTT